TTTTTAAAAAGTATATATTGATGTTTTAATTCTTTATCAACTGGATCAACATTTCGATCAGGTAAAGCTTTACCGAGTTTATTATTTATGTTGTCCAATTTAATATTTGTTTCTTCATGACTTTTTTCCATAGACTCTAGTTTTTTTACAACAATTCGTATATCATTACGTAATGAATTATTTTCATTATTTACATTCTTCACAATTTGCTTTCTAATATTTGGTATTAATACATCTTGTACAAAGTCCTGAAATGGTTCTGCATTCGGCTTGTTTGATCGCATTACAAGTCTATATAAACCTGCTTCTGAAATAAATATTTCTTTGTCGTTATTGTTATTAACAACATTAGAAGATAAGGGGTGGTCTACTTCGAATAGACCACCTCTTTCTTTTTTATATTTATTTGGAATATTTTTATGAATAATATTTTTAATTGTACTTGATTGATCACTATAACCTAAAATCTTTAGAATATCTTTAGCTTTAAACCAAGGCTTATCTACAGTTCCTGTTACTTCTATATCATTGTTATCAAAAGAAAATATATTATTAAATGTTTGAACGAATCCATCACACAAATCTTGGCTGGATGGAGTTTTTACTAGATTAGATTCCAAATTATTATTTATTGAAGGCATTACAGATTCATTTAAATATAAAAAAAAAATATTCAACAAACTCAATTTCTTTTTTTTTGTATCTAGCAAATTGGAATATAACACCTAATAATGTAATATATTTTCAGGAACATGTTAATGAATAATATTATTTATCACTAATATATTTTACAAGCAATGTTCAAGTTTTCCAGCAATCCTAACTTCTGAGATATTAACATCAAATCGCAAAATCTATGTTTCTACAACTCAAACACTTTCCAACACCTCAACATACAATCTATGGTATTAGATCAACAGCTCAACATTCACTACAACTCAACATTCAAGACGTCTCACAACATCTATTTCATTGGCTCAGCAACTCAACATTCGAAACACCTCAACACATATAATTTAAATCTCTGTTTTTAAAAATTGTATAACTTTTAAAATCTAAATCAAAATTGTACACGAAAAATATTGTTTAGGGTAGTTGAAATGCAATAATAATTAATTTTAATGAGTTTTCTATTTCGTTTTGCATTTCGATTTTAATCATTAATATCATAAGTATTTTGAAAAGTATTTTGGGGAATATTGCAATTTTTTTTGATTTTTAATTATTTCATTTCATAAGTTTTTCGAAAAATATTTTAATTATTAATATCATAAGTTTTGTGAAAAATATTTTTGGGATATATTGCATTTCGATTTTAATTATTAATATCATAAGTATTATGAAAAATATTTTGGGGGTGAAAATGTATTTAATAAGTTTTGCGAAAAATGTTTTTATTATTATTGCATTTCGATTTTTATTTTTAATAATTAAGTTTTGCGGAAAATGTTTTTATTATTATTGCATTTCATAAGTTTTGTGAAAAATTTTATTAATTATTATTGCATTTCGATTTTCTGATCTTTTTGCACATTGTTTTCTTTGTGATCTTTTACTGATATATTATGAGGTGCGCCAGGACTGGTACATATATACTACTTACGTGGGCACCATGGCCGTATAGTTTTCCTCGTCCATCGGATCGTCCGTGCCCCCGCCGATGACTTATTTGACTGTTCTTCTGCTTCCGGTCCCCCGCACACCACTTCCGCCCAATTCCTGCCCGCTCCTCTACGACCGGATGGTCGTTATGGTTGTGGTGTATGTGGCGGTCGTCGTCGTCATCGCGGTATATACCGCGGTTTCAGTTATCGTTACTGATTACGTATTTCAGTTAACCCAACGCCGTCGGTTGAGGAAGTGAAGGTGGCGAGTGTACAGGTGACGACGGTGTCGAGTCCCGCGGCGGTGTTGGCGCGTCGGCGGCAGCGAAGACGGCGTTCGACTTCGCGCGATCTCCTCCGAGGAGTGCTGGTCGAAAAAACCACTTTCGCCGTGTGGGTGTGTGGGTGGAGTCACGAAAGTCGAGTTAGGGTCGGTCCGTGTTCATATGCGATTGATTCGGTCTGCTGGACCTGAAAAATAAAAAACGAGATCATATATAAATAAACAATAATATTGTAGTGTTATTGAGGATAGTAAATCACGTTTTCGCGTCCGTCCCGGTCTCGAGGTTTGTTTACTGCAGGGTCGGGTTATTCCGAGTGTGGACGGTGAACGGAGGACTTTCCCAAATCGTTTTAATTTGTGTTAGGTACTAGGTACCTGTATAATTAGATCCCGTCAGTGCCGTTGTTACAAGTAGTTTTCACCACACAATATCCTACAAGACCCGAAATCACAAAGTTAGTAGGTACACCTCAACGTTGAAAACCACAAACTGCCGATTTCTATAACCTTGTTTATGTGTTCCAAAGTTAGTCATACTGTCATTATTAGTACAGCATTATATACTCTATCAACTGCCGTTGAATATTGTATTCCAGATGTGGTCAAACGGCAAACCTTGTTTAAATGTAAGCTACTATACAACCTACCTAATATAATGTTTTGTGTTAATGTATATAGGTACTATACAAGTTTTAATCGACTTTTTACTACCTATGCACTGTAGGTACTAAATTTACCAATTTATTGACTCAACAATTTATATTTTTGCAATGATACGACCTAAACCAGCTCATTCTATAATACAAGTATATTATTTTTCAATATTAACAATTTGTTAGTCTAAAATTATTTATACAATTTTTTTTTCTCTATTATAAGTTGTAACCTATATTTAAATAATACACATTTTCGACTAGGTATCAGTTTTTTTTTTTACTTGACAACCAGACTATATCATGTTTTATTGTAAGTGGTTCATTGCATATTTAGGTCATGTCACTATTTGAACTACCTATTGTAACATAAACCTGCAAGTATAATAATATACATATATAGTAATTTGTATTTCCCAACGAAAACATTTTTATTTTTTACCAAACACAATATTTTACCATGTTTTGAACAACTTTTATCCTTTAAAATACTTCTTTGATAGTTATTAAATGTGATTTTTCATTACATTCAGCATTAAATCCATTCGATTCATTCAATTGAAACATTACCTATACATATATTATATCTGTTAAATGCGTTTACAAGAAAATAAGCATAAACTAGATACAAATCAATTTTAATTTTCCCGACCTCACAAAAAAGTTGTGTTGCACTTACATTCCTGTATAGTATAATATCATAATAATATCAGGTAACATAATCTATACAGAATTATATTCAGCGGTGCACATTGAATGATATTGTTTCCGGCGCATCACATATTATTCACACAATATTTAGTCGATATTATAATATTATGGAACTGTAATTCTATGTACAACAATTTATTACTATTATACTCGCATTATATTGTTATTGTGTAAGACGTCAGACGCCGTTGCGAAATTTATAAAATATAATGTGGACGTAAACATTATACGTTGGTATTCAATTTCAGACGATTAATGAGTCGCACGCGTTTTTTAAAATAAAATTGCTTTTTTTCATCGGGTGGGAATGGTGAGGCATAAAATCATGAATATGCTCATACTCAACCTTACCCTTTACCCCATACATCGCCTACAGTAAAAACAATAATTAATCATAATATGTTGTATTAGGTAATTAAAATCTATGTTTTTTTTTTTTGTTTACTACAGGTATTGCTCGCTCACTCCAGAAGGTATTGTCTTAGACATATTGAATTAGTTTATATTGATTGAAGTATTAAATTAATTAAATACTTTTTTTATTCAGCTTTAAAATTTCAAATATCAAAACATATTCTAAAATAAGAAAACACGTAATCCCGTAACAATTAAATAATTATTACATTTAATTGTAAGTGTAATGTGGTTCTAGAATCAAAAGGATTTTTGCAAAGTATAATCAATTTTTTTGTCGAAAACTATTAGTATGAGATTAATAGCAAATTACAAAACGATTTATAGTATAACAGGTAAGTAGGTATCTTTAGGGATGGACTTGAAAACATAAACCATTAACCAGATAGCTTCAACCATGGGTTTAAAGAGTGATTATTGTTTTGATAATGTAGATAAGTAGGTACTAAACATTTATTCAACAATTGGTTATATCTATGTGATAATGTAATATCTTTCAGGGTTAGTCGTTTTTAACAAAAGACATAATTGCATTGTTTCGGAATAATTACCTTTCATTTTGCAGGCGTGATTTGATTAGGTAGAAACGAGAAAAATAATTAGTTTTACAACATTTGTAAGCAATATTTCTTAAGGGGATTGGAAGCGGCGATTTTCTGTCTTTGTCTAACACACGTGCAACATAGGATTATAGACGTGTTCTATTTCCAACGTACCGATTAATCTAGTGAAGCGATAAGAATTCTGAAAACAGATTTGAATTCGTCGTCAAGTCTACTTGAGATCGACTTTTCCACATTTTTGATATTATCCTCCAAAAATCCTAAAAAACGATATATTCAAAAGAGTAATTAAAAAATTGACATATTTCAATTTTTGGAGAAGGTTAAATCAAAAAATCAAAAATGTGGGAAAGTTAATCTCAAGAAGACTTGACGACAAATTCAAATCTGTTTTCAGAATTCTTATCGCTTCACTAGATTAATCGGTACGTTGGAAATTAGCTATGCGTTCTGTTTTAAACAGTAGTAGTGTTGCTGTGACATGTGCGTACGCATGCGAAAGTGTACAAACTAGACGATTCCGGCGCGTTACTGTCAACAGCGCGTGACTGTCAAACGTAAATTATTTATAGATAGTATCGACAATTTTCCAAAGTAAAATAGATACTGGATAATATAATATTGATTATTATATTTTCTGACGTTTGATAATATTATTACCACATTTGCTGTGTGCCTGTGTATAGTTACAGTGAAGTGTACAGTTACATTGAACTAATTGATGATTCCGTTTTCTTTATAAAATATTTTGAAAAATAAATAAAACACTATGGGTAAAAGCACAAATAGAAAAAATACAATTATTTCTATTTTGTATAAGTCTAATTATTTCCATGGAACAACTGCTACCAGGTAAAATTTGACTATTTTGTACTGTAACAAATACAATTTATTTAATAATCTATAATCTATATACAATATACATTCTGCAACAGTTATGGTATACAATTCGAACCCGTAGCTAAAAAAGCATTCGAAGCTTTACACAACTTCAAGGTTCATTCTGCCAGATTATTTGTTGATCCAGCACTCCCTTACTTGGCTGCATCTCCAGACGGACTTGTTGTAGACGATTGTATAATCGAAATTAAATGTCCTTTTTCGGTTAGAGACTACACACCCGAAAATGCTTATGAGGAAAAAAAAATAAAATATTTGGAAAAAAAAAATGAAAAGTTGGTATTAAAAATATTAACTGTGGAATTGTGGAAGTGTATATAGTGTTGGCGTTTCTGCGGATGGGTAGGACTCGTCCTTTTGTGTACCTACGCCGTTTGTTTCGAGCAGTAAGGGATTGGATGTCCACGTTGAATATTCTAATTCATTACATTAACTAATATTATATTCAACGCGTATAACCCACGTGCGTGTACTGTGGAATGTGTCTACGGAATAATATTATTATATTATATCATATTGTATTCATGTGTCGCGGAATGATGGGAGGCAAATGTCAGCCGGGCGAACACATTTCACCGAAAACAGTCGTAGCTGCAGCTTGTGTGTTGATGATCTCGTGCTAGATAATCTAAAGACGAACTTGATATTACGCTGCGATTAGTACACCCACAGGAATCACACAACTCACTTCTTACATATTATTTATTTTGTTTATTTTCTTTGTATAGTAAGTACATACGTATTCCTACTACTATCGTTTTTTTTCGTTTTAAGCAACGAATCGTAAATTGATTTATATAATAAATATGAACACAAAATATTATTATGTATGCGTACATAGTTATTATGTTATAATATTTTTATATAAAGAACACAAATAACACAATTTTAATTGTTTTAATCATTATAAATTATATCGCAATGTATAATATTCATGCAAATTAAATTCGTACATCAATCTAATCAGATAAATCAGAACAGACATAAATACAATTTTTAGTTTTAAGTATCGTATAATAGTTAATGTCATAATTTTTTAATAAAAATAATAAAATAAAACTATAGTTAACAATAAAAATATATATTTTTCTTGCACGGTATTATATATATTTTTGTGAAATATGCAATATATTATTATGTGAAATAACATATATATTATATTATATTTATGTGAATTTTTGGATATGTTGTGACTTATATAGGTAGACATATTTTTATGGTTTTTATGATTTTGCATATTTTTGTTAGCTCATTGCTAACAATCGAATAACAATACTAATTATGGTTTTAGAACCTTCTCTTTACATAATTAATTGGTTTGATACTGTCTTCTATCTAGATATCTAAAATCAAAAAAAAATTATAAATATAAAATAAGTAACTCAAATATGTGTGGCACTGGCCTGTTGCTATAAAAAAAATCAGTTAAGAATGTTAATTTACCTATGTATTTTACCTATTGATAATTATATATAGAACTCAATTTGATACGAAAATCAGAAAATATAAATATATAATGCAAGATTGTTCTGATGTTTAAATACACGATCGAAGTACCTAATATGTATAGTCTTTATTTAAAACTTCATGGCTTATAATCATTCTGTTGTTATGTTTTGAAACATTAGCCTCGAAAAGCCGTATAATTTAAGGATTCGCTTTGTAATTGTTGTGGTAAAAAAGTATGTATATTTACCAGGCGTACATCTCTACATTCTTGATGAAAGAAAGAATTAGGAATGACTAATGGACCCAAAAATCGTTGTGTAGTATAGTAATTATTTAAGACCACTTATAGTTTAAAGTATCTACTAACAACTCGTTACTTTATAAATATTTAATGCCGTTTATTATTCTTTTCTCAATACGCCATTTCAAACCTTTGGTTGAATTTAATACATAATATAACATCGTTTATATAGCTACCTATAATGATAAATTACGTGCCTACTCTGTTAAAATGGACAGTGTTTTGAAAATAAAGAGACTATACCATCTCCACAATAAATTTGTTATTATTTTTAAAACCGTTTGATTGTATTGGTTCGGTCAACCAACGACCATAAAAACAACTTTTCTTTGTTTATCGTGCCCAATGCGTAATTGTATAAACCTGACTTTATTTGTCTTATACCTCCTAGCCACTAAAATAAGTATGCTCCTAATCATTACACTTGATCTTAATTGTTAATTTGATTTTTAACAGTTAATATAACACTTTCACGAGCGTTTACTAACATATTAAATCTTTTCTTTCGTATATCGTTACACTTTGTACACTGTTGCGTTATGTATGTCTGGAGGAAACGCTCACATTTTGTATAATATGAACATTCTAACTCATAAAACCATTTATTATTTTTGTGCTGTAAAATTATTTTCATTTTATATTTTTTTCCAGCAAAATTTTACTTTAAATAATATATTGTAATCGTTTTCGCATTAGATATTAATAATATGAAACTTTTTTGTTTTAGTAAAAAAATTATGTATCAGCTGCTTGCAGTTATTAAAATAAATTGGTTTGTAAAAATTACTCGGTAAAGAAGTAAATAATATAAGCATAGTTATGATTCTTACATGGAAACGGTTTTCTTTTATATGGAATTTATTCGTTATTCATAAACAACTGAAAAATGTAAATTTTTATTTAAAACTAATTAAAAATACTATTACGTTTATTTAATTATTTATTATTATTATTTTTTTTTTTATACATTCTATAAAATAAATCTAAATTCAGCTTTTTATTTAATTATGTATTTAGGGCTTATTCTGGATTTATTCCGACAACATAGATGCGTGTAATTATTGTTAAACCAATATTCAAATGTAAATTCCAAAACTTCAAAAAATAATAAAAAAAATAATAAGTGAATAACAAAAATATTAGGGCTTTAACCATATTATATATTTTTTTTTTTATAATATAATGATAAGTTTTGAGAAATAAAAAATTCAATTCCATAACTCACTTAAAGCATAATATATTGTATACAAAGTATATACATACCTATACATATTATGTTATATTATTATGATGAGGTCTGTATTCAATTAATAAGTCTTAAAACCAACAAAAATATATTTGTTGTGTATTTTGTTCTACAATCTACAAATATATAAATAAATGCCATTTATTTAAAAAAATAATAGTTAATGCACTTAAATGATTATAATGATGCTACCATACAGATAGTATAGCAGATTGACACGTTAATTATAATAATAATTTTATTTTAATCTAATTATTACTAAATTACCCATTGTCCATTTTTTCCAATTTATCGATTTTCACAAATTCACGATGTCTTGATTATAAGATGAAACTAGAATGCCAATCGCTTAGATTATAGATCACAGAATAAACTGGCGTGTGTGTGCATATTATATAGAGCTACGGAAATATGATGGTCGCTCGCTGGTTGGTGGTGGGCGATCATGCAGAATAGTGAAATATAGTAATATTTGTTTTATTTATAGTCCATCGATACACGGTAAAATGCAATGTGCAATAACTTCAACAATGTCTTATTACATTTTATTTAACTGATAGACTTGTAGATTTTAGAAATTAATGTTCTTACATTGTTTTCAAAAATCGTGCACAAATATAGACTAATTTATAAAACTATCATGACCTTTTTTTTCGATGGGGGAGGAGGTTAAAAACTTCCAAATCTATGGAGAAATAAATAGGTACGCAAATGACTAAAAAAATAATAAATACATCATTCAAATTTAAAACCATTTAATAGCAAACCCTGCCATTATACATTTTAAATAATACAAAATGTAATAAATATAACTTAAAATTCACAATTATTCTCAAATTAACTATCATTATGACATTCACATTTAAAATGTACAGTGTCGATAACTTGAAATTATCCATATATGAGATGAAAACATTTTTTGATCATTATATTTGAAAGTATATTATACATGGTGATATTTTGAGTTCTTTATGAACTAGTGCGATAGCGAAAACAGTGGTCACCGTTATATCATGAACACAATAATTTATGGATCATGATACTGCTATTACAGAGTACCTCATTATAATATTATTTTGAAAAAGGAAGTTGTATATTTTCATTTTTTTTTCCAATCAAATTAGTTGAACAATATGTAATTTATTACAGTTAGATACTATTTTGATTTAATAGACTGTGCTGTTTAATCATAATAATTAATGATTATGTTTTATCCGTAAAACCAAACATTAATAGGGAGTATAGACTATAGACACACACCATGTCAAAGCTAATACAAAATTAGTACATGCGATACATAAACTGAATTTTGGGAACTCGCTTTGCTCAAATCTGTAAAAAAACTATATGTGATGTATTGTACCTGCTCTTGATATTATATATTATACTAAAACAACGGTACAAGAAATCAAACAATAATATCTTCAAAGTTAGTTAAGACTAGATTTTTGATAAACTTTTTCACCGCACCTTCTAGTCAAATAAAAGATTTCACAAAATGGTAATGCATAAAAAAAATGAAAATTTCTCATTTTTCCTATGTTAAAATAAAACTATAAAAAAAACATTAATATGTTTTGTGTATTATATATAATATATTTCAAAACTTTTATTTTTAATTCAAAACCCCGGAGCTCAATAGGTTGTCACTCTTATGGGTCTTACGGTTTAAAAGTAATAGGTACATAATAATATAAACATTTATAATATATTTTTTTGTTTTATCATTTAAAATACACATGAATATTTTACATTGTTTCCTTAATTTAATGATTATTAATACCTAATTATTATGTTTTTAATGTAAATGTTTTATTAAGAATGTATTATACATTATATGTATTATATGTATTATACAATATTTAAGTTATAGGACTATAATAGTCCTATAACTTAAATATTTAAAAGTATGTGTATTTTTTTATTATTAGAATTAAGCTTAACTTAAATTTTTTATTTACTTCGATTTATTTATAAGTTAAGGTATAATAATATTATAATATTGTAGTATGATAGGTATAGCTTTTGTTTAGAATTTTGAGATAAGTTGTTTTTGAAAGTTAAAATTTATGAAATCATGATAAAAAAAGTAGGAAAGTTGGTACCACTCTGTTTTACAGTTATAGCCTTATAGGTGGTCTGTCATTGAGCCACTTTAATAGCTGATATGTTAAATTTGAATTCAATGATAATATAAAACCATTGTAGGTATACGAACCTTTATTCTAAGCGAAGACGGTCTGCCTACATGAATAAGTATATTTTATAAAATTATTACTGTTAGAGTAATTAATTTTACTATTAGATATTAGTAATACAGAAGGT